GCGCGAAAATGCAAACTCCAAGTTCAGTTTCACAAAGGTGATAATATATGAGAAATTTAGCTGCCCTCCGGAAGAGGTTTTAATTCCTGCTGACACTTTAGGCAGCTTGGCTGGCTCTCAAAGTTTCAGAGCGTCTACTTCTACTATCGGTCAGAGTTTTGAATAACTGGCTGACCTTGTCAGCCTTGCACTGATCGATTTTTTTCTCGTTCGCTGCCTACGCCCTCGTATGGATGGTTCTGTAGCTCGACGGACATTGCGTGCATAAAAACAAAAGACAAGAATTCAGCAAGAATCCAAACAACTTTCGGTGGGCATATGCACGGTAGATTGCCCAGTTTATGGAATGCGAAGAGCAATATTTGACGGAACGGCTTAGCACACACTTAAGGTTGTTTATTTCGTTCACTGAATTGACCTTTGGCGCAAAATGTTGTTTACTAGAAAAGAGCCCAGTTCAGGTCAACGTGTTTAGGGAAAAAAACGGGGCCAACTCCAACGTTTCTTGGTATCCAAGGAATTTCCTATGTTATGAAACCTTGCAAATCAAAAGGTGTCTTTTTCTTAGGTTGTACTATAAAATAAGATTAATATAGGCCAGAAACACTTTGACTGTTTCTTTTCAGAGAACGGACAATTTCGTTTTTCCTTAATGGGAAACAGGTAAATGCACGTAAGAAAAGTCGCATTGTTTTTGCGAAAAGAAGAGCGGATTCAGATAAAAAAATTATGTCTTGCAAATCTGATAGGTTTTGCGTCATGAAATTTAATATAAAACTTCAATAGGCACGTTGAATTAGATTCTATGTACACCAACCTCAAAAAGGCCCGGAAAAGGCGTCAACCCAACAAGCCCTGCTATTGACCAACGATGACAAGGCACTATGGATTTTTTCGGGATGTTTAAAATATGCACCGTGCTGTACACAGTTCCCACACGTCCGACGACGACCTGTTGTACCAGAGTCGGAAATTTATAATAAAGTTTGTTTACGTTTCCCGAAGAACCTCTTCTATCAAATATTTAACTTGTACAGCTGTAGTTTGTTTTGCCAAACCGTAAAATAAGGACCGTAAACAAGCATATATATGAACATCCGCGACACGCCGTCACTTTTCCCTGTCAGGTCGTACGC